ACAATAGTAGAGCTTACAGATCTTGACTTCATGTCAACCAATGTTAATGTGATTCAGAATGTGCAAACAAGCACTTCCTCACTTACTTCAGATCATCGCTCAGATATTGATTTGATCGCTGAGGATGTTGATTCTACTACCTCTCGAGCACCAAAAAGGCCTCATATATTAGCATCAAGATCTTCTAAACAGGGTGCTAGCTCATCTCCTATTATCAATGAATCCGCCGCTCCTTCTTCGTCTTCGGTAACTCCCGTTAATACTATCTCTGAGACAGTTCAGATTCAGAAAGGTAAAAAAAAATTGTCTGATTTTGCTTTGAATTGTCTTGAACAACCTACCATGGATGACGCTCATGATGAAAATGTCTATGCTGAGGATGTTTCGGTAGATGACGATGATTTGGAGTTACTGTGTCAACAAGATGTAGAAGAGCCTAAAAAAAAAAGAAACAGGAGATCTTCAAAGAGAAATAGAAAATAATTCCCACGTTTTTGCGAAACATGTACCCCTTGATAATTTCTTGAACAGATATGAATCTTTTGTGTTATTTCGTCGTGTGTAAACAAGTCATATATATATATTATTTACTCATTTAATGCTTTACAAAAACTGTCAAAATTGAACTTGCTAAAAATAAGCAATTTAACAGTGCTGATAATATGCTATTAGAATACGAATTTTTGCGAATATAAGCACTTTATTAGCATTTATTATTAAATTTAATTTTATAAATATATCTGTCAATTATTATGCTAATAAGATTCTAATATTAGCGATATATTATCAATATTTTAGTAATAATAAAAGCCTAAAAATTACCATTGTTTAACTAATTTATTAAATATTTAAAGGCGCTGATAGTGAAATAATTTGTAATAAATAATTAAGATTGCTTAGTACTAATAATGCACTATATCTTCATTATAATTTGCAAATAATCGCGTATCTCGAAATTATCAGATTTATGTAAAGTAAATAACTTTCAATTTACTTGGAAATATTGTTATTAATTGTATCCATATCACGATTAAAGTGATCATCTTGACTTGATGTGTTCGTGGTCTCAATTGAGTACTGCAGAGCGAAAAGCTGGAAGTGAATATTTAAATTTTCACTATGGTCGGTTTAGCCCCTGATGAATTCTGATGTTACGTAATTAATCATGCGTACGATCAGTTTTCTAGTCGTTTCGATAGTATGTATAACCTTTATATAGAAATGCAAATCAGACTTATCGACTCTATTAATTAATCAATTTTTTATTACAAGAACACTGATTAACGATACGTAATGTTGCGATTCATCAGGGGTTAAACTCGCCATAGTGAAAACTTAAATATTCACTTCCAGCTTTTCGCTCTGCAGCACTCAAATCATATATGCTATTATATTTGTAAATCAAAATAACGCTATTACTCTACCGGTTAGCAGTTAGGTTAGCTATTGGGGTGAACACTGATGAGATCACGATGTGTATAATTTACGAGGTAATAAAAAAAAGGCATACACCTACAAAATCTATTGTAATAAAATCATTTCATATTATAATCTATTGAGAAATCGTAAAACTACCTTTATTTTTTTCGTGATGTATTGGCATTGAAGTTGACACACTTCTGGTTTTAGTGTAGTTACTACCTAGTTAATAACCCGGTTCTCCACTTAAGAATAACATTATGTTTCGATGTCTGACGTAAATATATCTATTATTTTGTTTGTATCGTTTTATTAAATAAATAAATAAATGAATAAATAGATAAATACTGTAAATAAATAAATAAATAAATAAATAAATAAATAAATAAATAAATAAATAAATAAATAAATAAATAAATAAATAAA